ACCGGGCCTCTAGTTTATTATAAGATGCTTTCTACATTAATCAGATACTATTAGTAAATAAATTTATTGGAAACATATCATTGAGCGGAAATGTTTATAATTCTGGGGACAAGAAAAGTATGATTAAAAAGAACACTATTATTTAACATTCAACTAGAGGTACTAACTGGTGCAGTTAGAAAAGTGGTGGATCTATATTTATATTTGTGTTTGTATTAAAATGTCTCTTAAAGGATGTACAAATAGCAGTGACTATCTCTGTTTGGGGGCGTCGGGGGAGAAGACTGAATGTATAGGGATCAGGAGTGGGAGAGGAACTCTTCGTTGTATATCTTTTATGCTTTTTGATATTTGTGCCAAATTAATATTTCCTATTAAAATGAAATAAAATAGCCCTTGGCCATGTAGTTCAGTTGGTTGGAGCATTGTCCCTACACCACAAAGTTGTGGGTTCAATCCCCAGTAAGGGTGTGTACAGGAAGCAGGCAACCAATTGATGTTTCTCTCTCACATTAATCTCTCTCTCTCTCTTCCTCTCTCTCTCCCCCACCCCCCTCCCCCCAAAATCAATAAACATATCCTTGCATGAGGATTAAAAAATTAAATAAAATAATTTGTTAAGTTTTAATTAGACTATATCACCTTTGTTTTTATGTCTAAGTATTGTGCCATTGAACAGATAGTTTCAACAGTTGTACATTGATCTTTACAATTCAATGCAAATTCACATAATAGCATGTTTTTGTTTTCAGGTTAGTGTCCCGAAAATGAAACATAAGCCAACCAGACAACAGAAAAAAGTGGCAAAAGGCTATTCATCTCCAGAACCTGATATCCAGGACTCATCTGGAAGTGAAGGTAAAAATATTGCAGACTATTCACTATAGGAATCTAATTTTTTAAGAAAGATATCACTATACTATGTTTGATAGATGAAAATTTTTTATGTTAATTTAAGAAGATATGTAAAAGTTTTGGGGCAGGAATGGTGTGCCAAAAAATGTTTTTAATCCCTATTTTAGATTATAGATAAATTTTAAGACCAGGCCACAGGTAAAGGCATTGGGGATGAAAAACGGGGGAAGCATGCAAATCAAGAACCACACTGTAGTGTTGCTCTTATGCCTGGTTAAGCTTCTGAAAAATTGTTGATGGCTTCCTAGATTCCATTCAGGAAGCATTTTTGAGCTTTGAGCTTAGTTCCATGCTTTAAAAAGTTTTTCATTCTCTAAATAAATTGTTGTAGTTGTAGAAGTCAAGTAAATATATAGCTATACTAAAATTATGGGCTAAATTAACTAGTGTGCCATTCTTGTTCAAATCAGATGTGTAAACTGTGTTGAACTTCACAGAGTTATAATCAGGAAAGGATTAAAGTAATGTCTGAGACACTATGAGAACAGGTTTTTTTGTTTTTGGGGTTTTTTTTAATACATATTTTTATTGATTTTAGAGTGAGAGGGAGAGAGAGAGAAACATCAATGATGAGAGAGAATCATTGATTGGCTGCTTCCTGCACGCCCCCTACTGGGGATCGAGCCTGCAACCCAGGCATGTGCCCTTGGCCGAAATCGAACCTGGGACCCTTCAGTCCGCAGGCCGATGCTCTATCCATTGAGCCAAACCAGCTAGGGCAAGAACAGGTTTTTTAAAGGCATAGTCTTTAAGCTCACACTAAACTGGGGAGCTCATTTTTATAGAGGTAACACTTGAGGTGAATAAATGATAAATACCAGAAAAGTAGTAGAAGAAAAATAGTTAAGAGTTGAAAGGTAGCTGAGTTCAGTTTGGGGAAATGTTCTTAGAGGAACTCTGATGAATTTATAATGAATTATAATATAAGCTTGAGAAATGCAGGTAGGGAACAAGCTACTGGAATAACGAGGAATAGACTGAATAAAGATTTAAAAGCAGGAATTGCATAGTACCCATGTGCTAGAGGGAGTGTTTGATACACTGTTGTTCCCATTTTATAGAAAAGGAAACTAAGATACAGGTTAATCTGCCCAAGGACATGTATCATCCCATAAGACAATATGTATGTTATATAAGCAGATATTTTGGCTCCTTAATTTACTCTCTTCTCTTATCTCTCCACTATATTACCTATAATGTATCAGCTATCATTTATTGAGTACTTAAAGTGTACCAAACTGGATGTTAAACACACATTACTACTATGAAATTTGGGTGTTAATTATACCTATTTTACAAATGAGAAAGCTGAGACCTGGAGAGAGGTTAAGGTCTGAACAAAAACGGAAAGGAAGGAATAGATACATTCGGGGAATTAAAAAAAGAAAACACCAGTACAGTTTGCTGGTTGATAATAAAAGTGTATAGAAGTATCAAAACCAATTGAAAAAGTTTAAAGTTTGGGTGGCTAGGGGAATAAAGATAACATTAACAACTAATACAAAATTGAAAAAGGGGCTCAAAAAGCTGAATTCCTCAGATGAAGGCAAATGGGCAAAGAGATAGAAGAGAGTAATACCTTCCCAAGTTAATATATGTATTTATTGAGCTATTTTTGTCTGTTTTAATTAGTTAAAAAATAAAACTGATACCATCCAAAACTACTACTTTGTGGTTACTTTAAATATATCTGTAGTGTTCTAGTTTTGGGATGATATGATTAAAACTTCAAAAATGCAGGGTATTTGTATTATTATGTTAATCTCTAAACCATAAAAATGGTGCCTGGGAAAATTTTTATTATATGAGAATCATTAAGCTACAATGTAGATTGTTTATAATTAAATATGTTCGCCCTAACCGGTTTGGCTCAGTGGATAAAGTATCAGCCTGCGGACTGAAAGGTCCCAGGTTCAATTCCAGCTAAGGGCACATACCTTGGTTGCGGGCACATCCCCAATATAATTAAATATGTTCACTATTTTCACCATGTGTATTCTAAATATCCTTTTAGCTCAACCAGTAAAACCAAGTACAAGAAGAAAGAAAGGAATAGACTTGGGAGACATTCAGAATTCCATTGAATCCATAAAACAAGCACAGGAAGAAATTAAAAGGTAATACATGCTGACTGTTCATTTGAGTCCAGAGGAGTAGTTAAGAATCCTGTTACATAGGAAATCATAGGCCAATATTTTGCAAATCATTTACATTTTTAATATCATTACTAAACTAAAATAGAGCCTTGGCTTCTGTCACCTGATGACTGAAATGCATGAAAATCTTTCAGCACTAAAATATTGGGGGAGATGTTGAGATTGCTTTTTCTCATCTCTGAGCGTGAAATTGGAATCTCTTGATCTTATTGCTGTAGCATACTAAGAATGCAGCTGACCTGGATGGGGAAGTGGGTGATTTCTGAGAAAGGCCATTAACAAGGCTTTTGCAGTCTCCTTTGTTCATGGCTAATATTTAATTGCAATGCACCAGTTGAAATATTGAAATACTTTCACATGTGGATAAAGAGCCACTACCCTGAGACCTTCATGTGCCCCACTGGCAGTCCCAGACCTTTTCCCCACACGCCTCCCAGATCCAGCAACTAAAAGTCATTAACATCTACACAGGTTCCTTGGAGGGAAAAGGAACTTACACTGCTCCTTGCTAAAGCTAGCATGAGTTCAGATTAGTTGTCTCCCATTGCTGTATCAGATGTTAAATTTTTTTATTATTAGCCAACCTGCTTTTGTATATTCAGTACTTAGCACTAGGTGTTCTGGAAGATTTTTTTCAAAGATATTTTCTCTTTTCATAGTGATCTTATAACTCATATTTAGTTGCTATTTTCATCCACAGCCTCATCTCCTGCCATTCCCCTACCCCGTGGTCAGCAAACAGCGGCTCACGAGCCACATGCGGCTCGTTGGCCCCTTGAGTGTGGCTCTTCCACAAAATACCACGTGTGGGCGCGCACATACAGTGCGAGTGAAACTTCATGGCCCATGCGCAGAAGTCGGTATTTTGTGGAAGAGCCACACTCAAGGGGCCAACGAGCCGCATGTGGCTCGCGAGCCGTAGTTTGCCAAGCCGCAGTCTGCCGACCACTGCCCTACACCAAGCATGTCAAACTCAAAGGCTAACACAGGCCAAATAAACAAGGTTTAAGTTAATGTGGGCTGCAAAAAATAAAAGCTTCAATTTTTATCAAAGCGTAGGTTTATTTTGATAGAGACATGCTGAGTACAAGGGCTGAAATAAATGAGTAATTGTTAGCATAAAATAATAGAACAAATAATAGAACATTTTAATAAAAATTAATATTTTTTCTTGAGCATTAATTTACCAGACACTGACTAACTGCACAAATTAATAAGCATAACACAAATAAGCCTATTTTTCTTGTTCTCTGAAAACGAAATATTTCCTCTTACGCACACCGAACAAGTCAGTCCAAGACTAAATACGTGGCCATTGGCTGCTAAAATATTCCCTGCTGGTATTAGTGGAGAGAAATGGTGTGCCTGTGCATAAGGCTAGTAAGGAATATAGTGATCAGTCATTAGTGAACGTTGTAGTTCATTTTTAATAATTATGTGTAACAGGATATTGTAAAAATTAAGTTACAAAATTTTTATTAAAACGTTTCTTACATACCGTTGTATTGGCTGGGCCGCAAAAACGTTCGTTGTGGGCCGTGAGTTTCACATGCTTGCACTACACCTATCCCATGCTTCAGTCCTATGAATCTTCTCACATCTTCAGACTATACTCTTCTCTCGCATCTTTGGATTTTTGCCCACACTGAACCCACTTCTTAGATGGCCCTTCCTCCCACCCTGCCAATCAAAAAATCCCTGTTTATCCTTCAGAATATAACTCAAATGCCACCCTTTTTGTAACATGTCTCATCACTTACCTTCCCCTGTAGGGTTATTAATGCCTCCACTCAGATTGTTTAGCTCTCTGCACATATTCCTTTGGGGCATGACTCTATCAAAATAGACCTATGCTTCGATAAAAATTGAAGCTTTTGTATGTGTCTGTTTATCCCTGCTGGACCATGAGCTCCTCTAGAGCAGGGAGCCTGTTTTCTGCATCTTGATATCATTGACTCTAACATAATGTGCTCACATTTTCTAATTTAATTATATTTATAAATTGAGTCTACTTTTTTGTTTTGCCTCCTTTTCTTTCTCTATAGTGGTAAGACACTTTAATAGAAGAAGTCAGAAAAAGAAAAGGTCTTCACTAATCAGCTCTTTTTAGCCAAAAGCAGTTAGGGTGGCATGAGGATTTTAAACTCACTTCATAATTAAATTGACATTTTATTTTTATTTGCATATGAAATGTCCATAGAGCATTCTCTGAGTTATGAATGTCATGAAATCTGTTGCATTATTTTTTTCTGGGTAATTTAGGATTTTTCTTCAATTTCACCTCTGTCTTCCGAAAGTAAAGATAAAGAACCTTAGTGGGCCAACTAAGACGCAAAATTTTTGTTTTAAAGCCACTGTAATAACAGAGAAGGTGATATATTTCTACATTATCAAACTAATAATTATGTTTGATGCACAGCATTAAGTAATATATTTGGTACAATGTGGAATATAGATTTAGACAAGACCTAATAATAGCTCCACATAGCATAATCAGCTCCTTGTTCAGGCAGCAGTGATTGAGATAGTTACTTTTGTTACTGTAATTAAGGGTTCTGTGGCCATATATGAAATTATGAGTTCTGTGCTAACATTTTTCACAAATAATTTAAAATTTACTGTTGCTTATTTTTGTAGAAATATTACGGCTCTTCGAAATCATTTAGTTTCAAGCGCACCTGCCACGGATTATTTTTTGCAACAAAAAGACTACTTCATCATTTTCCTCCTGATTTTGCTTCAAGTTGTAATAAACTTCATGTTTAAATAGTTCTTTACAGTAAACTATTCAGTGAACTGGAATGATCAGATTCGGCCTGGGATCAATGTTCAAGTTGGTTCAGTTTTATTAAAACATCACTATATTTCTGAAACAATACCTTAGAGATAAATGCAGAGGTGTTGATCTTTCATACCTTTTATCTTTAACCTGAAACAAGAGCTATTCTGTTTAGTTATTAAAGTGAGCTATGTGTTACGTGCCAGAACATTTCTAGTTTTTGTGAGAATGTGTCTACATGTGAGTATAATAAATCCACATGTATACACAACTGTGTCTTATGTATACCTGATAGTCTTTGTATTCTATAGTATGTTCTGAGATACAGCACTAATGGTCATAACAAAAATGTTATAAATATTATAAATATGTGTATTAACTCTTTTCTTCATAACTGGCACAAACTTTTATCAGTAAGGAATTACAAAATAGGAAATGATGGGATAATAAACATATTATAAATAGTTCAATACACTCTAGTGTTTAAAAAAATCATTTCCCAAAATAAAAATAAATAAAAAATCATTTCCTAAGCACCTAGCTCAGTAGTCTTCTTAGATAAAGCAAGAAAAAGTGGTCAAAATTGATATATTGAGATACACAAGGTGGCAACTTGCTTTTTTTAAAGTTTACACAAGATTATTTTTTTTTGCCCCCTCGAATTTAATATTTATAAAGGTACAAATGTACGCAGGTGTATATCAATATAAAAAAAGGTATACAGCTACTTGGATCTGTTGATTATATCTTTCTTACATCTATATAATACTACCTTAAGCACTTGCTGATAAAAGTGTGGTCAAAATTGGTTGCTGTCCTTTTTTCTTATTTTGTTTTTTTAATTCAATCTGATAACACAGTCCAAATTCTAGAGATGTTTATATGGCAGCGATTTTCAGCCTTTTTCATCTTATGGCACCCATAAACTAATTACTAAAATTCTGCAGCACACCAAAAAATAAATGTTTTGCTGATCTGACAAAAAATAGATATAATTTTGATTCATTTACACTGGACAGCTGTTGTATTGGCTGTTGTCATTTTTTATTTGACAATCTAAGGAAAAAAAGATCAGCGCCCCTGACCAAATAGTCAGATATTGCATGTTTTAAAAATTCTTGCAGAAAAATAAATTCTGTGGCACACCAGTGTGCCTGCCACAGCACACCGGTTGAAAATTGTAATTATAAGGCATATGAAATGCTGAAAATTCATGTTTTTTTTCATTATGAAGAACTTATTTTAGCTTTCATTTAGACTGTAGTGTGCTCAGTGAATAAATAGGAGAAATTATAACCAACATTTTATTTTAAAAGCCGAATAAAAGAAAGATGCTTTGTATGGTGGCATTTATATGTACAATAAAATTAGTTTCTTTAAAATGTGCAATAAGTAGAGAATCAAGTTCTGAAGTTTAATTTTTTATTCTCCTTAGTTCTTAGTAACTTCATTCTGTTACAAAACCATAATTCTTCAAGATTCCTTTTGTTCAGGCTCAAACTTTTCCTACTTTTCTTTTCAGGTTAATATTTTTACTTTATGTTTTTTACATAAATGTAGTCCTCAAAAGTCATTTTTACAAATGTAAATTAAGTGTAGGAACATGTTCTAAGATACATCTTAGAAACCTGAAAATATCAGTTTTGAAAATAAAGGCAGAATAATTGCTCTGGCTACATTTGCCTTTGATTAAGAAGAAACTGTTAGACACTAGTAAAATTACAATCAGCTGTTTATTGCCATGATAAATACAAAATCAAAGAATGGTTGCTAAATTATGAAAATTGAAAATGATAAAAGGAGCCTGCTTCCCCCTCCCCCTAACCATTATAGCTATCTTAAATATTCTAAAATTTTATGAAGAACCATTTCCTGTGTATTTTTGGCAAAACAATGTATTCCATATGTGCATCTGAAACATAGTTTAAATTGATTAAAACATAAATAAGATGTACCTATACCTAGTATAAGTATAGGTATAATGTGAGTACACTAGAACAAGTGGGGGATTTTTGCTGGTATTTCATTCTTGTCGATCCAAGTTTTGTACTCTCTGTTACCAATGTTATGCTCAACTGCCTATTCACTGATATATATTTTGTAAATATTGTACAATTTGATCTTTTTTATGGTTTAAATTAGTATTAATTTATATTACATATAACTTAATTGGCTGATCATAAAGTCATTTCATCATTAAACCCTGAAAACTTAACATTTTTGTTGGTAACCCCCTTTTGGGGTTTTAGTCTTAGCTGCTTGTGGGTTATTTACATTTGGTCTAAATAGTGTTGATTTGTATAGGTATCTTCTAAGACTTGAAACGTATTTATTTACTTTATTATTTTCCTTTAGGGCAGATGTTATGGGTTCTGATTACCCAACGAGTCAAAAACTATTTCATGAGAAAGCAGGGTTACTTATGACTGTTCCTTATACACTAAAAGCATATATCTAATCCAAAGGTCTTCTTATGCTTTTAGTTGTATGAGTTCCTTTCTGCAAACTGAACACAAAACTCAGGAATTGGTGGCTTAGTTTTAGATCAGTGCTTATACTAGGTTTAGTATGTGAATCCTTTAAAACACAAAATTAACTTTGTAGTTAGCCATATATGTTACTGACTTTGAATGTTCTCTACCTGGAATTACTCTTCCTTCACACATGGATTCATAAAAATTGTGATTTACAGTTCTCAGTTGTCTGAGAACTTTATAATGATTTCTAAGATTTAAGATCGTATATCCTGTTTATTTTCATTTGATCAAAAATTTTATTTTTTCACATGAAAATTAAGGTAATAATTGACATGTGCATTTCTATTTTGGTTGTTAAGTGTATTATACTTTCAGTTATTCACCATTTAATGAGGGGTAACTGGCCCAGGAAAAGACAATAAATAGGGCATGTGAAATAAGTAAGTTTCAGCAATAGATATTTACTATATTTCATGTCAGTACTTTTTGTATCATTTATAAAGTGTAAACTTTGTCACCATTCCATTGAAAAAGTTAGCCTTGTAAAACAACCCTCATTTAGTAGTATTCACGCTTTTGTGCCTTTAAGAAAATACTTTTACTCATTTTGTGTTACAGAACTATATAATATGATTCAAAGTGTTTATAGGCTTACGTGTCATAAAGGGTCATTTCTCTTTGTCACCTTATTTCCTTTTATATAGCTAAGTATATTTCAATGGTAATGCTGAACTTTTATAAGGGTTTGTCTATTTACCTATTTCAAATATATCCACTCTCAGACATCATTGAAGTAGACTTGTGAGATTATTCTGAGTATTGTAAACAGTGCCTTTCTGATGGAATTCACACTGTTTTGGGTGTCAACTTGTGCCATAAATACACAAAATTCTGTGAAAGGCAGTTTTAACTTTTTGAAGAATATCTTAGTCAAATATTTAAGAAAACAAATGTATAAAATTCCATTTTCCTAGTGTTTAGCATTTCTAGTGAGCAGTGAATATATTTTTGGGGTTTGTTTGACATAAGTTGATAATGTCATTGCTGTTGAGCCATATATGATGCTCTAGATTATTTTGAATTATGCTAAATGTACAGAACTAAAATATTAAAATTAGCATTTATACCAAATTCTCCAATTTGAACCGATGGTGTGGGGGACCCCACACAAATCACTAAGTTTACATTTCAACCTCTGATTACATGGAAAAAGAGATTCTTTAAAAATATGTAATCTGCCACTATTATGTAATTTGGTTTCATTTTGTTTACCTATAGTGTGAATTTATATTTAATTTACTTTTTGTTACTCTTAATATAGCTTGTTTTGTTACAGTTTTTATTTGCAGACAGACTTAAAATTGTATAGGACCAGTATCTCCTTAATATGATTCACATAGTTAGAAGAGCCACAAGAACCCCATGACAAAATGAATGTGAATATACTTTCTAAAGAACTTAGAAAATTTTATCTTTTTGCATTTATCATGTAAAATTATTTTAGTATTATAATATTGAAATTTATTTAAAGAAAAATGCCACAAGACATTTGAACTGATGAGCCACAGAATGTCAGTTGAAAATTTTTTCACTTTTTAGCATGCTAAATATACATCTAAGTTAAATATTCTGGTTGATGGCCACTTATAAATTCACACCACCACTGGTCAGTTTGTATAACGGAATAAAAGTATGTTATCTGCAGTGTAAGTACAGCACACTGTCAAATTCTTTTCCTTGAGGTGCATCGTAAATGTACAGATAGTCATAGGCTACTGTTTTGTAATGTATTACATTTCTAATCTATTATTCCTAACCTATTATGTGTGCAGAGACAAAGAATTGAATTTTTCTAATGATCTGTAAAATTATGCTAACTTCTACAAGTAGGCATTCTAAATAAAATTTTAAAAAAGCAAATTGTGATCAAATGACTTTGAATATAACACATTAAATTACTAGTCCTAATTTTTTAATTAAAAATTGTAAAGGGTGTAGTTGTGAAAGGATGGTGCAGGGTTTGGAAGGGGTTTAACAGAATCCCTAATGCTTGCTTTACTTGGTACTCTATATTCATTTCTCTTTGAGTACTCATAATAACCTTAAGGGAAGTGGAAGTTTATAGAGGAAGAATCTGAGGCTCAGAAAAGTTAATTGATTCCAAAAGCTTCATAGAGTAAGGGTGATAACAAGCACAAGTTTGGATCCAAGTCTAACTGCAGCGTCCATTGCTTTTTCACTGCACTTAAAGAGAACGCTGCACCACTTTTAAGTGTTTGGAATAATCCTCTGCTCTAATCTTTATTGAGTAATGTAACCCCTTTGTGATGGGTAGAACCAGAAAAACAACAACACAACTTACTATTAAAGAAGCATACACACAAAACCCATATGAAAAAGGTTTTCCCTCTTAAATCACTTTTATAATGATACCAGATAGTTCCAAGAAATGACTCTTCTCTGGTTTTCCTCATCTTCTTGCCCTCCCCAGGGTCCAGTGGCTTCTGGCTAATAGTTGGTTCTGTCTTGTTAATTGGGGGAAGAGAGAAGGGCTCGTAGCTTTTGGAACACAGGAGTAAGGGGCAAGGAAAACAGCCCTCACTATTCGACCTCAATGAAAAAAATCTACAAGATGCTTTTCTTACTAATAATTGGCCACACTCTGGGATGTCCTGTGTTATGCTATTACTCTAATCGATTCTTCTGCACCTTACAGAATATCCCTTTCTTGTAGAGATAGTAAGCCCATACAGGTGACATGTCACAGCAACTTGGTGGGTGAGCCCTTAGGTGT